TTCATCCAAACTAGGAAGACACCACTCCTCAGATATATCCAGAAAACAGAGGAATTAAAAAAAAAAAAATTTAAAAATCTGCTTTCCCTAACAAAGAAGAACCACTGAAGGAGAAGGGCCAGGCTGGCACAAATAAGTGAATTGAATGTGTTTGCCCAGTCATTTAGAGAACAAACTTGCTGCTAAATGTTCCATCTCAATTCTTGGCTGGCATACAAGACCACTCTACACTTGTTTCAAGAAGTTTAATTTTAATTAAGTTATTACAGACAAAATCTCTCCAAGCAAACTTTGGAGGTTTTCACACATCGTCATCTTTACAAAAGCAGCATTCATCGAAATTTAAATATCATCCTATGCAAACTCAGTCTTTTTGGATCAATATGATTTCTTCACCCTTTGCTCTTGATTTGCTACCTCTATAAATCCAATGTCAGGTCATGCTAATATGAAATAAGAATGCTGGAGAATAATGTTCACAGTAACGTTTTTATTCTGGAGCTTACTTACACTGGTAGAACTGTAAAACTAATTGTGGAAACTCTACAGTAACATGCTTCCAAGTGTCCCACCTCTATCAGGTTTTTCGCTCTTCTTAAATGTCAGTTCCTGTCTAGCCTGCAGCAAAGTATTCTAAACAGATTCTACGTTTTTCACTCAAGAGCTCCAGTGACTCACTCCTGCTATCTGCCAAGTCGGGGAGCTCTCAAACCCATTATCTCCCAGTTCCCCCTGGCTCAGACACTGGCACAGAACTGCAAAAGGAGAGAAAGCCTCTTGCATGACTGGCTGCTCATCTGATCAGGGTTCAGGCAAAGGGCCTGCGAAGGGAAATAGTCTTGCTAACATAAATAGTTTTATTTTGGGACCTGCAAGGAAGTCTTAGTGCTTTTTCCTGGTGGATAATTTCTCCACTGGATGGAAGGGAGCTCATGAAAGTGGCCGCTCTAGCATGGAGATGCGTAGCCATTTCGGACAGTAATTGGCCATAAGTGATACATAAGCAAGAAAGAAAAAATTAAGTAATTTAATCAAAAGCTGGGTGTTTGGAAAAAAGTTTAAATATTGAAAATATTCCTACAGCATTTATTTACTTCTACTGTGCCAGAAAGAAATGTGTATAGACCACTGCTTCTTGCCTTGGCTAAGTGAGCAAAGAATGGGGCAAAACTCATGCCCAAGGGAGTACAGCTCTCACACGCACCAGAAAACCTAAAGGTTTTTCCCAGCAGGTTTGCACAAGCAGACCTGACTTTCAGTAAGGAAACTGCAAGTGCTAATCATCCATTACTTCTCTAAGCTAGAGGTAATGGTAGAATAAATACCTGTAAACCTGCAGCAGGAAAGCACCAGTCACAATTCAATAACTGGAAATTAAGCTGCAAGACTCAACATAGCATCAGGGTTACTCTGTGTAATCGGTGTTCCTGAACCTAGCTCCCTCTGCCAAGAGAGCCTCAAACAAATAATGCAAGATAGTGTAAAGTGGACTGTTGTTAATATTTATAACCTTAGAGGTACCTGGAAGTGGTCACTGGTACAAACAGCTTAGGTTCAAAGTTCTTCCTGCTTAAGGTTTTATGATTTGCTTCACATGTTTTTTTAATTTATTTAATGCTTTCTGGATTCCCTGTGAAGGTGTATGTGAACTGGAAAAGAGTTCTGAAAGGAAAACTGAAAAGGAATACTGACCACACAAAGTTTTGTCATGTGCCAGACTCATCAGTAAGATGGGTCTCTTGATTTGTACCTCAATACCCTCCTTCCTGCGAATTTTAAACCAGAAGGAAAAGAAACAGGTCCACAACTTGGCTGCAGGAGGTATAAGCAATCTCCCTTTCTCTCAGTTTCCTACCTTTATGAGACAATTGGTATCTATCATTCTTTGAAAAGTGGACTGCAACCTGTAGAAGAGCAAAGCACTATCAGTGTGTATCTGTATTATAAGACCTAAAGACCTCAAACGTAGATGTAGAGATGCACGTTCTCTATAAGCATATTACAACTAGCATGCTCTGGTCCCAAAGCCCTGAAATACAAAACAAAGCACAGGAGAAAATAAATTTTATCATGTTGGTTCCGCAGATGGGGAACCGACCCATCTCAGAAAGAGTTTTAAAAAAACTGATGTATTCCACAACACAGGATCTTATCTCCCCCTCTCTTCTCTACCATGTGCCTCAAGACAAACTGAACTCGAAGAATGACACTGGAAATGAGGGAAAACTATTTTGTTTCCCAGCTCGGCTGCAATCTTCTTGTATGCTATTACTACTAACAATGAAGAATAGATTAAAGTCATACAAGACCCAGATAACACCAAACAGCAAAGTCATGAGAATTCAAAAGCAATTCAAAGAAACATCATCGAAAAGAGCGAGCACAATTAACTGTAGCTTTGGGGACAAAAGTAGTGTTCTGTGAATGCTGAAAAAACATTTGCAAACTTCAGTGAGGATTTTGAATGCACAAGGAAAGAACATTTCCTCTTTCACGTGGCAATGAGCAAGCATATGAATATAGAGAAAAAATAACTCCTTCAAAGACAAATGATTTGCCTTCAACAGTCCATCCAAGGATGTAGATAACATTTGCCTCGCTTCAAGAGACCAGGATTTTAAAAAGCATTCATAATCTGATATAGGGTGTGTCATTCAACAGTGATTACTGAAAAAAAGGAAGAGCTAAGCTTTTATCAAAAGCACAACTTCACAATTTTTCTACCTCAACTGTAACTCAGTATTTTTTTGAACAGAAGTCAGAAGTCGAGAAGCAACTTTCAAACTTGTATACTTCGAAATAATGCTAGATGACCACCTATGTATTGGGATCCCATCTCCAACTTGGCTAACATTAAAATGGCCTCCTAAGTAAGTCTGCAGGCTCAACTTGAGAGTGCTAGCAAACAATTATTTTACACATTAGTGATTTCTGCAACTCAATTAAGTCAATGTGCTCCATGTGGCCACATTTTTCCCAGATGAAACTTGTTCATTTATCTGAACTAATGGTTCATAATCTGAACCATTAAATAACTACTAGACTTACTGACAAAATCAAGCAGTTATTAATTGCTGTCCTTACAACTGAGTCGACAGCCTAAAATGCATCCAGAGAACCTTAGACTTTTTTCACAGCAAAGGCTACTGCAGAGTGGCAAAAGAGCAGGAAAGAGCTACTCCTCCTGTAAGAACCTATTTCCTCCTCATATATCCTTAGGAAGAGATGCCTCACTTCAAACCCTCTCTGGTACATGCCATCTGTGGGACAGTGCTACTTCAGGAGGAGAAGGTGCAGCAAGCAACTGAGTTACAAACCACCTTCTAGGTAGACACAAGAGAGCTGAGGATGCCAGACACCTCCGGAATTAATACTCATTCATTGCTTGTTTTATTAGGAGGGGGATTCAGCCTTCACATTATTGACTCTCAGAATAGTAAAAGGGTCACGCCTACTTAAGTAGTGATTGATTTTTTTCCTCCTATTTGTATTTCATTTCCCTCCTCTATTTTTTTTTATCCATATATAATTTGTGTCTTTTCCATCTTCACTGCATTACTAGTACTCTTTTTAGAAAGAAACTCCATACAATGCATACTCAGAATGTGCTCTTTCATGGAAAATCAAGGACCAGAGCCAGGTGTCACACCATTTTAGAGCATTGCCGTGGATCTGTGGGAACAGTGTTTGCAAGCAGCGCGGCTAACTGAGAAAACGGCGTATAGCCACTGGGACTTACTTGCTCTTGACTTGTCCTTGCCCATGCACTTAGGAAGATGGTATCTAGAAATCCTCTGGCTGTTTATGGGCCTTTGTTTATTCTAGTCTTCCTTCATGAAGGGGTCCTTTTCTCAATGATATTTCTTGTGTTATGGTGGTGGTTAAGGAAGTATGTAGGAGAACAAAGAGAAAACCTTTTTTCGGTTAGTGAGGCGTATTTGTCTCTTTGTATGTTTGTTTCAATCTAATCCCATGTATAAATTACTTCTCTTAAAAAGCTGAAAAGTAGTTTTATTTCAGAGTAGGGACAGGAAGAGAGACTAATACAATAAACAGAGGGCAGAAAAGTAATTGTGTGCTTACCGATGCATTCTTCAGGAAAGGACAGTCTTAGTAACAAAAAAGTAGGAGTCAAGTGATACGGAGTCTGCCCCTTGTTCTAATATGGACATGACTAGAAAAGTCACCCCACCTCATCTCTGAAATAACATTATTATTTATCAGTGGTGTCTACCAAAAAGAATGTGCAAAATATTTTTTTCAGGTTTTTTTGCAAATCACATTGTGACATCTGGATGGAAATGCTATACAAGTGCAGTGTTGTTACTCCAATATTACCTATCTTTTAGGAAACTTAACTACTGTGCTTACGGTTAGGAAGGGAACGGAAACCTTGCCTTTGGTAGCTTCTGGAGGCATGATATTACTGCTGCCTAATAACACTTTTTTCCAGCATAGAAAAAGTAGGACCATAAAGTCCCATTTATTTCACCTTCCATTTTTTTTAAGCTTCTGTACTTTTTTAAAATTATTTCTGTAAGATATTTAGCTGTTCATCATCTTTGCAGTTTACAATAGAGGCCTGCTTTAAAGAAACATTTTAAAAATTCAGAATAAGTGTACCATATTCTGAATAAAAGATTTTCATTATTATTATCATTAATATACCAGTTTTCTGTGTTGGCAATGGGAATAAGAAAGAGGACATCTGTGTGAGACAAGAGGATGGGGAAAAATCCAGAACGTGAAATACATTTAAGTAGGAGTAAGAAATTTAAATCAGAGTGAACAGATTTAAACCTAACATTGAGATTCCATTTCAGGCACCCAGTCTTTGCATATATCATTATGCCCAAATATGCCTTCAAGAACACATACAGCACATCATAATAGAGATGGAAAGGCTTTACAGACTCATGAATGTTGGCCTATGGCATCTTGCCACTACAGAAATTCAAGGGAATAACACATGAAAAATAATTCTCACATTCTCCTTGCAGGTTTTGTTCTGGTTATTGGATTGGTGACTTTCTACCGCATCGGACCATACACCAACCTCTCTTGGTCTTGCTATCTGAACATTGGAGCCTGTCTTTTGGCCACACTGGCAGCTGCCATTCTCATATGGAACATCCTTCATAGGCGTGAGGACTGCATGGCACCCCGGGTCATTGTCATTAGCCGTACCCTGACCGCTCGGTTTCGCCGTGGCCTGGAAAACGACTACGTTGAGTCACCGTGCTGAAAGAGTGGACTTGAAAGAGGAAAGATCTCCAAGGAGATCTGCTTTGGAGTTGTTTTCTATAAATATATGCTATAATTTAAAACTAAGGGTTGAAAGACATCACAAAGCTCACTCTTGTGGGCAGAGGCCCTCAATTACTATTTGGATGGGCTCCATCTATATACATATGTATAAAACACATAATTTTATATAACCTCTTCCTCTGCTGTACAGCACAGAATGTTGGATTGTCAGAATCCTGACAGAGCATCACAGCTACACATCACGTTAGCAGGGTCAGCTGTAGCAGACACAGAGTGTATGCAATGAGAATATAGAAGAGAGGCAACCGAACACATTTTCTCTGTCTGCATAAAGTTATCCTGCTCCCTAATAATAATGTAAAAAGCTATGGGAGACCACTGACAATAGCTTTGGAGTTAACAGGCAATCTGAGAAAGGAGAAAACTCACTATAGAATTAGTGATGATTTTAACAGCTGTTTAAATTTAATGAATCTTTAGTCCTTCCATCCACCCCTCTTCAAGGAACTTCTCATTAGCTGCAACACCTGCTCCCCAGCCACAGCATAGCCCAGACAGTAAAAAGCAAAAGCAACTCTAACCATTCTAATTATAAAGTAAGGGAATGCAGAAGAATTAAGTTGCATTTTTTCAGGCACTTCTTTTGTATCCTGAGACAAAGGTTTGGGTTTATCCTATACGTAAACAGAAATGCCATTAAAAATGAAAAGGGTACGCAGCTAGAACAGGCCATACATGTCACTGAAAAATCTACTTCAGTGTTACAATGAGGGCAGACGTCTACAGAAGAAGGTTACTTGGGCTCCCTAGTAATCACAGATACTATTTTCTTACATTATTGGAAACTATTATTAAGAACAGATATTTCAGCCCAAATTAATTTCTTTTCTTCCCAGCTTGCTTTAACAGTTGCTGTGACATTTTCAGATCAGAGTGCTATGTCAGGACACCCAGCTCTGCCCAGCAATGCTCAGAGGCACATAACACAGCGAATACTGGAGAATATAACTGCCACTCAAGCACCCAAATTGGAGAATAAGACACATATACAGGACTTAAGCATAAGATTTAAAAAAGACCTGCCTGGTAACTTAATATGGTAATGAAATGAAAATAATTAGTACCTTTGGAATTAGGCATAATATTTATAAGCCTGTCCCTGAGAAGCACATGGGCTCACAAAAGTCATGTGCACACAACTTTCAGGAAAAAACCCAACAGGTCAAAAACTATTATGCAGAAATACTTAGGATACAGGAACTAGAGGCAATGACAGATGTTTAAAAATTCTAAGGATGCTACTCTGAGCACAGTTACTGACAGGTTTGAAGGACCATGAGCTGTGAATGTTACAAATTCTTTAGGACTGTTGTGTCACTCCCAGCTGAGTACACTGCGTTTCTTCTTTATCATTATTTCCACTATACTTTTCCACACTTTGTTAAAATGTGATCATCAAGCTGGCTCTTGAGTTCTGTTCTGCACTCAGTTCTGATGTAATAAGAAACTCAACCCCAACTGCTGCTCTGCACCATGTTCAAAGTGAGCAACACCCTGCAGAGACTGATGCTCTAGAACTGCATTGTTCTAGACTATCAGGGTAGAATACCATAAAGCTGACAAAGAGTTTCTTCTAGCAGTAGGTTTGTAAAAACCAACTAAGATTTGTATTCATTTGCCTGCATTACTTTCTGGAAAATCTTTTCTAGAAATAATATGCTATGATTAATTGCAGGGTTTTTTAAAAATAAAATATTGGAATATTTAAAAGACATATTATTTCTTCTAATATTGCAATATCCATATTATAATAATGTACATTTAAATTTAAAAATCAGCTATGTGGTCGGTAAATTTGTAATACTCGGTATTAATGTGATTATTTTAGATGTATAAATAAAGTTGTGAATGTTCATTTTCTTCTAGTGATAACATGAGATTTTTGCCATTCAGACACAGAATAAGGTTGCTTGTTGTCAATCATTTTTTCCCCGTTTAGTAAAAAAGAATCCACAGAGCTTGCAATGTCTTGTAGACAAATAATAAGCAGAGAATACATTAAAATGTCTGTAAGATAAAGATATTTCATCTTGTTAAAAATGAAAGGGAGAATGAAATCAGAGAGGAAAAACCTAAGGAGAATTTAGGAGAATCAGAACTTCATACAAACTTTTAACGAAAATAAACTGTACCCATAAAGAAATACATACAAATACTTACGATACCTTTTGATCAGCTTGATGGATTTGAAGGCCTCATCCATGTCCCCAGCAGTCAGATAGAAGCTGAAGTTCAGCATGGCATCCCTGGTAGTCTTATCACAGTCTCCTAATCCAATGAAATCTCTCATGGGTCTTCTCGCAACCATCTGAGAGACCTTTATTGAGTCAGACTCTGCTTGTCCTTTCTCAGCTTCTCCCGGCTAAAATGAGAATGTTATCATTTAGGTATCAAGTAGGTTGAAACTTACTCCTTTGTATGTGTAATTAATTACATTATTTCCACTACAGTCCAAGTTTTCTATTTCTGCAGGACCATAATCAATAGTGACAACAGTTGCAATGTTTCAGAACTTCCTAGAAAATGCCTCAAAATATGGAATGTCATAGAAGAGATTAGCATATAATAACGAACAATCACAGTACGTCAGTGATAGTTTGGAGTTTGGTAAAATACCACAAGAGAGGCAGCCTCCTATTATTATAGTCATAATGATTATTTTATATATATATTACTATTATAATTATTAC